CCACCACCACCGCCGTCAACGTCCACCACCACCCTTCACCACCACCCTCCACCACCACCACAATCGTCCATACACCACCACCGTACACTACTACCATTAATTTATATAGCAATCTACAGACATTAAAAAACAAATAGTCTTCTTCTTGCAGACCGCAGACCTTCGGTCCACCACTTCTCCTGCAAATGTCTACAGTAGTGGTCCGCAGACTGCAGACCTTTTCCCGCAGAAAAAACAAACACCCCCTAACTAATTGTAGTAGGTTAAAGATTCTGATATGCAATGAAGACAATATTCCCACAAATTATACAAATAATGTAGTCTATAAAGAAATCTTTTGAAAATTGTCAAACAGTGATGTTTTTTACCTTAAAATAATATAATCTATATATTCTATTGCATTTCATTTTTATCATTGAAATATTATTTGAATTTAATAACATAAAAATGACCCGTGCAACGCACAGGTGTGATACTAGTAACAAATACTCCATAAATAAATTGAGGTGTAACGTAACCACAAAAACTTTTTAAAATTTAAAATTTTTATATTTATTCTAACTTTATATTATAATTATTTTTTTGCAAAAATAGTTTTTTGTATTTGAAAAATAACAATATTTTTTTGTATCTTAAATGCATTAATTAAGATAATGTGATAATGATGATGATTATGATAATAGTAGTAGTAGTAAAACTACATTAAAATTTTTATAAAATTAGATACTTTATTATTTTTTAAATGAGTAATAAAATTAAACAAATAAAGTAAATTAAAAAATGGAGTACTCCTTTCTTAAATTCGTCAATCAAATTCGAATAGGGGAGTGTGTTACTCTTTGAAAAATAAGGGAGGGAGAGAAGTCGGGCTAGGGTTTCGGGGGCTGGATTGAAGTGAGAAAGAAATCAAAGAATGGAAGAGGAGAGCGCATCCCGGTTAGCTGCGATTGATGGTAGAGAGTTGATTCAAGTTGACCCGGTTCAATTGGACTTAGCTGCAGATTTCAGTTTGAAGCGTCGCCGCCCATCGACGTTGGACAGAGCTTATTCAGGTAAACCATCAAAGAGTGTTGTGATTATATAACCATATAAGCTTCAATTTCACTATATTTTCTGTGTTTCAATTGTTGTGTGTAGATCGGACGCTGAGGCTGTTAGCAACGAAGGCATCCTTTCCAAATGTATCCAAATGTGTACAACAGAACATCAAATTTGCGGTCTTGGATACCTTCTTTAAGGATACTTCTGAACTCCCCGACCCCCGTGCCATAGGTAAGGAATATAAGATCGGCTCATATTTTGATACCGAACGCCCCGTTTATTCCGAATCGTTGCTACGTGTGCCCAATGTGGAGGTAGGCACACAACTGAATGTTTTAGAGTTGCTAGGGGATACCCTCTTGGGTTTCAACCTAAATGTTCCTAACTTTCAGCCCACCAAATTCAGATGTTATGCGGGTTTGTGCGATCCGAATATGGGTGCGCTTTGGGGTTTCAAACCAGGGAAGCATAGTCATAATCCTCAAAGGATTCAACCCCCCAGATCCAGAACAGCATGCAAAGAGAATGTTAACATCGAAAGCACCCTAATTCTAAAGGGTAAATACGTTATGATTTGTTGCGTGTATGTGCCTTCGATTTGGTGCTCAACCAATGGACCCAATGTTTATCACACTGCATTAGCTTCTCATGAGCTCGCGAGAAGAGATGATTTCGTGCTGGTGGTGGTGCCAATGATGAGGGAAGGTTTCACTCATTCTCGCTCTGCCTATCTACACTTCTTGTCCGGTTTTTCCTGCTATGCTGTTCCTTTCCATGACTCTCGTCGACGTGAGTATATTTGCTCAGCACTCGGGTTTGGTGGCAAGATCAAAGTTATGATTCTAGATCCATCTCTAGAGGTTCGTTACCATGGCTCGCCCTGCATGTTTCAGCAGTTCGGAGGAGCTGAGCATGATTGCTTTCCCTTTACTCCGGAGAGACTAAATGTTGGTGTCAACTGTCATTTTGTTCTGCAGGATCTCTCCCTCAATGAGCTTTTGGGCCTTAGCGACACTGATGTTCTATGCAATATATCGAAGGATGCTCGTACTACTATTTCAGAACTTAAACAGAAGTTTGTGGGGATTTACGTGTGCTCTGATTTCAGAAGTTTAGAGGAGGTTCAGGAGGTTCACAAGGAGTGTAGACGGCGAAAGTATGAGCTTGAGATTGTGGTGGTGGGCTGTCCCTTTGATATGCTGTTGCCCCCAAAGTTGCACGAGGATTTGATCATTGGCGCTCTTGCAAGTCTTAAGCTGCTAGGCTGGTGGTTTTATCCCTTCAACAACACTTTATCCCTTAGGCTCAGTCAAATGCGTGATCTTGCCCGTTACGAGGAAGGTCTTTTCATAGTGGACCCTATTGAAAAGTATGTGGATCCCTATGGATTACAAATCATCACTGACTTCGGCATGGACTATTATCCCTTCACCAGGAGGAATGTAGTCAAGAAGGAATTGCAAAGGAAAATGGGACTGAGGTTGAGCTCACTACTACTTCCATGGGAGTATCTTTGTCGCAAGCGTGATTCCAGCAGCTCCATCGTTGAGGTTTCTCTGACAGAAGTGCTTAAGAACAAGATTGTTGTTCTTTATCTGCACAACAAGGAGACAAAGTTTCTAGCTGATAAATTAGCTGCATGGTATGAAAAGAATATGAAGAGAAAGCATTCAAATTTTGTTGAGGTGGTTGTTGTAAGCATAGGTGATGGTAGTATGGGTACTAGTGATGAGGACTTGATGGATAAGGGGTGGTTTGTATGCCGCGCTGACCCATCCAAGTCAGCTAAACTCTGTGATGAATACTTCCATCCTCTATGTGCGCCACACGAGACTCTTGTTGCATTTGGTGAAGATGGCCGGATTCAATCTATGGATCCGAATCACATTTTGGAATCTCAATTTCCTCCTTTCCATGGCAATCTACCTGAACAGATTGCCCGGCAATTTGATTGTGCTGGGTCTTTTTACATGCGGAGATATGACTACAGTTTACTCTGAAGGGTTTGGTATGCAATTGATTTTGGAGTTCATGCCCATGATAGTTATATAGTTTAATAATTAAAGTATCTTATACTCTGTATTCAGTTAGTTAGATAGGTTTAATAATTTAATTCAATTACTGTGACTTGTGAGTTGTGACTCATTTTTTGTTAACAACTATTGAGTGAATTATAACTCTTTCAAAGGTTTTTCTTTTCCTTTCTTTACGTTGATGTCTTTTTATTGAACTGACAAGACTGTTACAAGTAATTATTAAGAATGTAATGAAATTATGTGTTCAAATTTTTGTCTCGGCGTTCAAAGGTCTAAATTCCTTCACATTTAAGTTGGGGAATATCCAAAAAATTGCTGCCAGGTCCCTCTATTATGTGGTAAAAACTACCAGGTACCTTTAATTTTTAAAATATACTCTCAGGTACCCCAAGTTATAAAAAAATATACCAAGAGGTGATTTTCCATCCATTCTCCATTCATCCCTCCTTTCTCCGTTAAGCGTACCACCATCATTATCATCCATCATCATCATCAATCATCATCATCATCATTCCAGCACCACCATCTTCTTCGTACATCCTCTTCTTCTTTTTTTTCCTTCTTCTTCTTTCTTATTATTTACAAAGTATTATTATTATTTATTACAAAGTATTATTTTCTTCTTCTAAATTATTATTGTTAATATTAAAAACTAATATTAATAATTTTTTAATATTAAAACTAATTATTACGGAGTATTATTTATTACGAAGTATAATTTTCTTCTACCTCTACTATTTATTATTATGAAGTAATATTTTCTTCTTCTATTATTATTATTATTATTATTCATTATTATCATTATTAAAAATTAATTAATAGTTTCACTATAAAAATGAAGGTGCCCGAAAGTTCTTAGTACAAAATTAGGGGTTCCAAACAGTAACTTTTTGTTTTTTTACATTAATGGAGATTGTGAAAGATTAATGGAGAATACAATTTTTTGGTGGGAGCTTTAGTTTTTTTTTGTTAAAAATATAGTAGAAAAACAAAAAATTACCACCCCGGTGTCCCGTTCGTAAAATTGACGGTTCCTACCCCC